CGGTGGTAAACAACGGGTGGACTACAAACGAACCTCATGCGCCGCAGGTGCACCAGAATATTTCTTACGAGCAACAGAATTTGAATCCCCAGTTGACGGTTGTTACAGCCATGGAAGAAGATTCCGGTATAAGGTTAGTCCATATGTTGATGACGTGTGCGGAGTGTGTCCAACGTGGCGAACTCTCATTGGCTACTTCCTTGATCGACGACATGCAAGGCTTACTAACACGTGTCAACACCGGTTGCGGTATCGGTAAAGTTGCTAGCCATTTTATTGACGCTTTGAGTCGCCGGATTTTCCAAGGAATTGGCGGCGGTGGTGGTTCCATCCTCGGCGGCTCCGCTTATGAGAACGAGATTTTGTATCATCATTTTTACGAAGCCTGTCCCTACTTGAAATTCGCGCATTTCACGGCCAATCAAGCGATTCTCGAAGCTTTCGAGGGTCACGATTGTGTTCACGTGGTGGATTTCAATTTGATGCACGGCTTACAATGGCCGGCTTTGATACAAGCCCTCGCTTTACGTCCCGGCGGACCTCCTCTTCTCCGTTTGACCGGCATTGGACCGCCATCGCCAGACGGCCGCGACTCCCTTCGGGAAATCGGTTTACGACTCGCCGAGTTGGCTCGCTCCGTTAACGTCCGTTTCGCCTTCCGTGGAGTCGCGGCTTCCAGGCTCGAAGACGTTAAGCCGTGGATGCTTCAGGTGAATCCAAAAGAAGCCGTGGCAGTTAACTCAATCATGCAGCTCCACCGCTTACTCGGATCTGACCCGACCCGGACTTCCCCAATCGAAACGGTATTGAGTTGGATCCGGAGTTTAAACCCGAAAATAATGACTGTCGTCGAACAAGAAGCGAACCACAACCAACCCGGTTTTCTAGACCGGTTCAGCGAAGCGCTGTATTATTATTCAACCATGTTCGATTCTCTAGAAGCTTGCACGGTTCAACCGGAAAAGGCTTTGGCCGAGATATACATTCAGAAGGAAATTGCCAACGTCGTGAGCTGTGAAGGGTCGGCTCGAGTGGAAAGACACGAGCCGTTAGCTAAGTGGAGGACCCGGCTAAATGGAGCCGGATTTAAACCATTACCCTTGGGGTCCAACGCGTTTAAACAAGCAAGTATGTTATTGACTTTGTTCTCGGCGGAGGGATATGCGGTGGAAGAAAATGAAGGGTGTTTGACTTTGGGTTGGCATAGCCGCCCTCTCATTGCGGCTTCGGCTTGGCAAGCCGTGACGGATCCGGCGGCTGAGTTCCCGACTTGGGATAATCGTCAGCCATCTTAGGGAGGACAGAGCCATAATAAAGCTTTGCTGTAAATTTGGGGTAATTGGGTTATTTTTGGGAAAGTCCTTTTTTAATTTTTTTTCAGCTTTTTTTTTAACAGCTTTATTGGTGCTATTTTCAATGAGATTTTACTTCAGGAGAAATCTGTTCCTAGGAGTAGCAGAGAATTTGGTCCTTAGCACTAAGTATCACTTAAAATTACAAATATAAATTCAATTTACTAAAGAAAACATTAAAAATGAAATAATAATAATAATCTTATAAAAAGATAGTATATGGAAAATATGGAATTTTAAGGGTCACTATTGTAACAGTTAAATGTTATCCTCATTTATTGCCGTCATTAAAGCTAAATTAGAAAATGACATTATTATTTAACCAAAAAAATTCCTGATAAATTATAGTAGTATATGAATTTTCTTTTTTTTTGGGTAAATAACATGAACTTAGTCATGAATTAGAAAAAACCATACAAATATTATCCTGTTGCATCATGCAACAAAGAGTTAAAAACAAAATCAGGTGTTTCTTTAAATACCACAAAAGCTTCATTATGTCTCATGGTACGGCCAACCCAATCACCCAAGCCGTTTCTAAGAATATATAGTACCAGCTCCTGCCTTTCCTGGGTTGCCTAACGAAGACCCATCACAGTTTAGCTTGAATCATCCCGGTGGTTGCCTTTTAACCACAATACTTGGAATAGGAAAATGTTTAATTCTTCTACCATTCAAAGCAAAAAACTCACAAGCTTTCTACAGAGCAAGCTTAATATAATAATCAAATCAAGGGTATAGGGTATTGAAAATCACATGATTCCTATACAGCCGGATTTCCCATAAAAGCATGAATAATTAGAAGTCTAATAGGAACGGAGTCTATATATTCTTAGCTTAATAAGCCTTTGGAGATTAAAAAATATAGGAACGATTTTACAATAATGGTGGTGGGCATAAGTCCACATAGACTGATGGAGGAGACTGGAGAGGGTTGGGTTGGGGCAGTGATTTTACATGCTCTTGACTTTGAACAATAGTGTCCCTCTGGAATTCTGACATCGTTGCCAAACGGCAAACGCTGAGGCAAAACTACTGATACCTAACATTTCCTAAACAGGGGAATTTCTTCAGACAATCCTTTTTTTTTTCCAGGTTTTTTCAGTGCTGCTTGAGACCAAACATGACCCATAACTCAAATTTCGTCCGACCACCTAAAACTTGCTTTGTTTTTTCAAAATATATGATGAGTAATTCAATATTGCTGCTGCCTGGGTTGGTATTTGGTATTTGTAGGCCATTGAATCTACCAAATCTTCTGCAAAACTAACCATTTACATTTAGATATACTTTTTTCACTCTCTGTTTTTAATTTTCTACTATACTACTATATATATCTTAATCTTTTTCAGTAATAAAAATGACCTCGCCGAGAGTTGTCTACTTTAATTTAACAATGAGTAAATGTAGTTTTTAAGCTATGCATTTTCTATTTCATGCAATCTGTTCATAAATGTAATATTAATGAACTGACTGAAGATATTATTAATGTCCGTATTATGTTCTAGTATAAGATTCCGGAAAATTATACAATATATTATCAATGGGAGCGTTCGGTTGCAAGTGATTTTTATCACCTGTGGTGATTTTGGGTGATAATCTTAGATCACTCCGTTTGATTGAACTTTTCTTTGGATGTTCTAAACCCAGGCAATTTAAGATCACTAGTCATCTAAGGGGTGATTCTAACCAAACATTAATTGACATGTGTCATTTAGAAAATAATTTTTAATTTTAAATACAAACTTGATCAAGTAATGAGATATGTGTCAACTCCTCAATCTGCGCTTGTGGAGTCAAAACTTTATATTGTACAATCCTCCTAAGTTTATCATTAATGTTAGTACTATTATCTGTATTAAATTTCGTTTCCTTATGTTTTGATGAGTTAAGAGTATTTATAGTTATGCATGGAGTTGTAATTAATAATGTATGCATGAGTTTTCTGAAGTAAAATGAGAAAAGAAAAGGAAAGAGAGAAGAAAAAGGGCAAGGAAATTGAAGGGAAAGGGGGACCTCTTAGGCTCTTACCGAAATAATGAGACAGAGGCATGCACAAACCAGACCCAGAGATGGAAATGAGAACAAGACTAGTCACTCACATGAGAGACTTTGCCTTTCCCTGCCAACACTCATATCCCCTTCCCTTCATGCATGATTGGCTCATTTAATTACAATTTGTTTTATAAACGTTTAATTTACACTAATAGAGTGCTTATGATTTACTTATTTTTTTATATGAACTGAAAAATGGATGATGGACTTACTTTGTCTTTGGGAAGTAAAGGGTCATGAATTCAAATCTCTCGAATAAATTTTAATATTTGACCAGTTAAATCAGAGGAGAAATTCGACTATCTTGACGGTGCCTTTAGTTTGAGGGAACAAAACGTTCCAAAATTGAAATTCATGGGTAAAATGCCTCAAATTGAAGTTCATGAGAAAAAACGTTCAAATGCTATAAGTTCAAGAGGGAAAAGGATATTAAGTTGTATAATTTGTAGTAATTCTTGTTTTCTAATATATTGATATTGTCAAATTAACTATCAACTTTTAGAAAACACAAAAATGATTATCACTATTCTAGAAGATAAATTATACTATATATCATGGGAGATCTTCACCTTTTATAATTTTAGTGTCACTCTTAATATGATGTGATTAATTAATTTCTAATAAAGTAAGTTCTTTTTTCCCTTAATAGTAATATCAGCCCTAGTTTTTTTAATATAAAAAATATTAATTTGATGTGTTCCTTAAACAAAAGTAAACGAAATTGGGAAGTTTGGCCCTGCTAAATTAAAGAGAGTCAAAAGAAGGTGAGGTGAGGGAGTGAGTGACAGAACCCGGATCCGAGTGGGAAAGAATTCACGTGCCAATAATTCGGATCTTCGGAAATCAAAGTGGGCCAGAGCCCAGAAAAGAAAAGCCTTTAACACCGAGGGCCCACAAATGCTGCTTCCCAGCATGTTCACGTGTCAATTTCTTCCCACGTGTCGACAGCGATGTAACCTTTCCTTCCCTTCCCTCCCCCTATTTTCTCACTTGAATTCAGCTCAGTAAAATGGGTCAATTTTCTACAACCAAAACTAAAATGGAAATTACAAGAAAAAAAAAAAAGGTCAATTTGAAGTGAAATTGACCCATCTTCTTAAATTAAGATTCAGCATCAAAGATTCAAAATTGGAGGTCCCACATAAAACGTATAGCAAATGCCATTATGCAAATGTGGTCCATTTTTTTTTAATAATTAATTTTTTGAGACATTTTTTTAATTAATTAATAAATAAATTACATGCTATTGCTATGTATTTACTAACAAAAAAGAAAAAAGAGAAAGAAATAAATTACTACATGCTACTATATACTTTACAACATTCACTAATGGCTTACACTACTATTGCTGAATGTTTTTTTTTATCCGAAAGAGAAATGCATTATTAATTATAAACTAATGACAACAGAGTTTGGGAGAGACTCCCGAATATTATAGTTAGAGTTTGGGAGAGTTTCCCGAATGTTACAAGTCCTGGGGAAAGAAATTCCCATAGTATCCGAAAGAAGTTCATTTAAAATACAGGCAGGAGGCGAATCAAAAATAACAAAATCTTCCTCCATGGAAACACTGCCTTTGGAAAGCCTGTCAGCTCACTGGTTCCCTTCCCTAAAGGTGTGGCTGATGGTCTGAATGTTCAAGAGGTCCAAAAGGTACCTACAATCATCAAGTAAAGCAATAAAAGGATGTTTACTATCAAAGCAGTTAGTAATAAGCTGGATAGCAAGTTGAGAGTCAGTCTCAATGCAGATATGTTCAAAACAATTGTTCTTAGCAAGCTTGAGGCCATCTCTAATGGCCCAAAGTTCAGCAGAAATACTGGTAGCCTTTCCAATTTTTCTTTGAAAGCCCAGAATGAAGTTCCCATGGCTATCTCTAAAGAGGCGACCCGCCCCGACATCACCCGGGTTTCCTTGGGAAGCCCCATCTGTGTTGATCTTAATAATACCATGTAAAGGGGGCACCCATTTAACCTGCACCACACTATGAACTTTATTAGAAGTAGCAGAAGTTGCAGCATAAAATTCAGCAGCGTGTTCATGGATGCTATTGATAATTCTGTACAAATGTCCCTGCGTTCTCCCAAAGAAAAAATCATTCCTTTGCTTCCAAATTTCCTAACAAGCAAATGTAAAAATAATATTCTAGGGGATAGAGACATGAGAGGGTGTGTGGATTTTACTGTTTTCCTTCAACCAGTCAGAAAGGGGAAGATTAAAGGTTTGAGCAGCTGCATCAGGGGGTTTAAGAGCTCTCCAGATCTTCATAGCTTTCTTGCAATTTCTCATAACATGTTCAACAGATTCCACAGTAGAGTTGCAGCAAGGACAATTTGCAACATTAGAGATGCCTCTATTGTAAAGTAACTCTCTCACAGCTAATCTATTGTGAGCAAGGAGTCAGAAGAAAGTCTTGATCCTTGGGATAGTGTTAAGTTTCCATATCCATTTCCAATCGGATTTTCTTTGAAGAGGTTGTCCCTTAGCTAGGTGATAAGCATCTTTGATAGTGAAATTACCATCAGCCGAGAACTTCCAAGAGATAGAATCATCAACAGCACCCGAGAATTGGATGGGAGTGCTTTTGATATTATCAATAATATCATGGGGAAGGAAAGCCAGAGAATCAAGCTTCCAAACACCATCAACATCAATCATATCTTGAACTTTGATATCAACAACATTTTCTGTAAGGGGACCAATGAAGTATTGTCTAATATTGCCAACACCAGTCCAATCATCATTCCAAAAACTGGTTTTATTCCCTTATTTCACCACCCATTTAGTACCCTGATTTATGATATGAGTGGATTCCACAATACCTTTCCATAAAGGGGAAGCAGAGGAAGTATTCCTACTATTGGTAGTTTTGAGATACTTATCTCGAAGGATTTGTAGCCAAGGAAGATTTTGAGGCCCTATGACTTGCCATGCCAGCTTAGCCATGTAGGCAAGATTGAGGTGCTTGGCTTCTTTAAGACTAAGACCCCCCTGGTCCTTATGGAGTGTAGCTATTTCCCAACTAATTAAATGGAGTTTCTTTTTCTCAGCAGTAGAACCCCAAAGAAAATTCTTGCAGATGCTATCAATTTGGTTGAGAGTCGCAGCCGGCAACTTCATGGCCTGCATGTAATAGGCCGAAGTGGAGAAAATAGTGGAGTTAATCAAAGTGGCTATTCCTGCAAGGGAAAGGAACTTGGATTTCCAGCCAGCCAGTTTATTATTAATTTTCTCAATAATAAAATGGCAGGTTTGCTTACTAGGCCGCTTGTTAGATATGGGGAAGCCTAAATACTTTCCCAAATCCTTAACAGCCTCAAAACCCAGGTTATCGGCAATGGCATTTTTTAAAACAGGATCAGTGTTTCTTGAGAATAAAATTTTTGATTTCTCCACATTGACATGTTGGCCTGAGAGCATACAGAATTTTTTAAGAATGTCATTAATCAAAATGCAGTTATCAGTAGTTGCTTTAGCACAGAGGATCAAATCATCTGCAAAAAAGAGGTGAGTAATGGGGGGGCCAGACCTAGAGAACCGGAAGGTGCGCCAATTCCCTTTATCAAATTCATCTCTAATAAGCAAGGAAAGGTATTCAATGCAGAAGATGAAGAGGTAGGGCGATAGAGGATCACCCTGCCTTATTCCTCTCGAAGGATGGAAGGTATCAGTCCTCTCACCATTAAAAATAACAGACATATTAACAGAGCTGACACAATTCATAATAAGATCAATAAGCTCAGCAGGAAAATTAAAGAAAGAAAGGGTATTTCTAATAAAGTTCCATTCAAGCTTGTCATAGGCTTTTTCCAGATCAAGTTTTAACACCATATCCCCAACCTTACCAGATTTCTTGTTGAAAGAATGAACAATTTCTTGTAGGATAATGACATTGTCAGCACCTTTCCTTCCAGAAAGAAAGCTGACTTGGTTGGGACCAATAATATCAGCAAGGAGAGGACGAATACGATTGACAAGGATCTTAGAGATAAGCTTGTAAGAGGTATTGCAAAGCCCTATTGGCCTAAATTGAGTGACCAGTTCAGGTTTGGTTGTTTTAGGAATGAGGGCAATGAGGCTATTATTTCAATTCTCAGGAATTTTCTTGGTACGAAAGACCTCAGTGATTTCATTCACAAGTGTAGGACCAGTAGCTTTCCAACATCTCTGAAAGAACCCCGGGTGAAGACCATCGGGTCCAGGGGATTTATGAGGCTTCATGTCAAAAAGAGCTTTAAAGATTTCCTGCTTGATGGGAATGGCAATGAGAGAGTCATGACAGAAAACATCAATTTTGGGTCCAGGAGGAGAGCCAAAAGAATCAAACCTGGAACAAGAGATGAGGGAGGTGGTGTACAAGGAATTAAAATAATATGTGATCATGTTTTTTAGTTCCTCGGGGTCATGATACCAGTTCCCCACAGTATCTCTAAGACTATCAATCATGTTCCTTCTTCTCCTAATAATGGTGGTAGTGTGGAAAAAATTTGTGTTACGGTCCCCATCCACAATCCAATTAATTCTTGCTTTAAGCTTCCAGAGATCCTCTTCTTGCTTAAGGATATCTTGATATTCTCGGAAGAGGTCTTTTTGGAGATTGACGAGAAAGGTACTATGATGATTATCGAGGCTCTCATCGATACCTTTAAGTCTAGCAAGGACCTTACATTTACGAACGTGGATGTTGCCAAAGACCTCCACATTCCACTGTTTAACCAGAGAGGTGAAGGAATCAATGGTTCCCATGAGATTACTCTTTGAATTCTGCCAAATATTTCTCATAAACTCCATGAAGTCAGGGTATTGGAACCAACACCACTCGAATCTAAAGGGTTTGTTAACAATAGGGGACAAAATGGGGCAAAGGTCTAAAAGGATGGGGTTATGGTCCGAATTAAAACGAGGAAGGTGGGTGACTTTAGCATTAGGAAAAACAATGTTAAAGTCAGCATTCCCCCAAGCCCGATCAATACGTTGCCGAATGAGGATGCTAGAAAAACGACAATTAATCCAAGTGAACTTGGAACCAGAATACCCAAGATCGGTCATGTTGCAGGCATCCATACATTCCCTATAAAGTCTAATTCTATAAGGGTTTAGGGTATTACCCCCAAATCTTTCATCAGTACTAATCACATCATTGAAATCACCAATGATAGTCCAAGGTCCAAGAACATTAGGACTTAAAGAGGCATGCTCATTCCACAACAGTTTAGGTTTATTAAGTTTAGGACTAGCATAAATACCACTTAAAAGCCAAGTAAAAGAACCGAAGTTGGGTAGAGTTACCTGGATTTCGGCATGAATCGCTTGATCTCCGTGAGGGATGATATTAACAGAAGTATCCTCATGGTTCCAAAACATCCACAATCCTCCAGCAAAGCCAACCGGATCAATGAGATGGACATCTGTAAAACCAAGAGACATAGCAATGTCATGAGCTCGAGTTCCAGCAACTCGGGTTTCAGAAATAAACATAACAGAAGGCTTGTGAAGACGAATGAGATCAATTCAAGTCCTTCTGAAATTATCACTAGCCGCACCGCTGCAATTCCAAGAGAGGATTTTAATCATGGATAAAATATTTTGATTTAGTCCCCACCATTCCCTAGCTTGATTAGGGTTCGTGTGAGGTTGGTCCCCCGACCAGTTCTTCCAAATTAAGTTGGCATTGAGGTGACACTCCGGCATTATCGCAAAATCGTAGATCAGAATTGGCTCCCCTTGCTTGTTGAAGAACCGCCCTATAACGGTTGTCTCCATGATTCCCTAGTGTATTAGAATCGCTTTGGTGAATTCCATCTCGGATTCGAATATCACTCTCATCATGTTGCCCGTCACCCAAGGTTCCGGGCTTGGATTCATTAGCTCCTTCACCACTCGGTCCCTGGCTTCCTGGTATTCCTCCTCAACTAGCTTCTTGAGCATCGCGTCTTTTTCCTCTTCGCGTAGTTCTAGAATGTCCTCGTTCTCCATCAAAAGATGTGGGAAGTGAAACGGTTTGAGAGGGTGTCTTACTGCCACCAGATTGTGCCAAGCCTTGCTGAGTGGAATCGGAGTGTTTCGTGGTGACGGAATGCTCTCGGGATGTAGAGTGCTGAATAGTGGCCGGTCCAAAGAGATTCCGATGTCCTTGTAAAACAGGAATAGATCCAATCTCGGGGAAGGTAGTGGGATCTTTCTCACAGTGGGAGTGATTGGGGGTAACTCCAATTTGGGTAGGTTGGGGTCGGTAGATGGGTTCATTTTCACACTGTGGTGGTTGGTGAGAGACAGAAGGTTTAAAGGGTTTTAATGCTTGAGAAGAATGAGTAATTGAAGTTTTCAAACTTCCTGAGTTGTCAATAACCATTGAAGGCTGAGTAATGTCAGAACCATCAAAAGAAGAAAAGAGTGCAGGATCAGAAGTCACGTGGGGAGAAGTATTTATTTCTTTAGTAGAAGGCTGTAACATTTGGGCCTTAGAATTAGCCAAGCCCACATGATCCATATGATTCTCAGAATATGGCCTGCTAGATGAGCCCTTTTCATTTTTTGAATTAGTAAAAATTTTCCCGTTAAGGATTTTCTTATCAGCTTGCCAGTGACCGTTGCGTTTGTCAGAGCTAGAGCTCTGGTTTTTGGTGTGGTTAGCCGTTGCCGGAAAACCAGTACGGCTTCCCGTAACTGTATTACCTCCTTTTGGATGTGGGTTTTTGGCCTTTTGATTGCGCTTTCTGGTCACAACCATCCAAGGGCCGCAACCCTTTTGTTCCTCTTTTTCTTGCTCTGTATCCAGAGTATTTTGATTTTGATTATTTATGGTATCATTAATAACCATGTCATCATTTTGTTGAGTCTCATTCCTCTTACAACTGGCCTCATTATGACCAATACAACCACATTTAAAGCAAAGGCCAGCCACTGTTTCATACAAGACAGGTTGTCTAAATTTTCCAATCTTGACAGTGCGCATTAATGGTTTGTCAAGATCCACTTGAACATACATACGGGCATACTTGCCCCTGGAGTTACTGGCTGTTGTGGCATCAAGTCTTAGGAGGACTCCCAATTGATTTCCAATTCTTTTGAGAATATTAGAATCAAATAATTCAATGGAGAGTCCTGGTAGACGAGCCTAGACAGCAGTGGTGAAGAAAGAAGCCTTTTCAGGCCTGAAGCCTAGTTCTCATTGGCGAATAGAAAGGTAATAAGGTCCTACAAACCAAGGACCCCCAAAGAAGACTTTATTAAAGTCCTCTTTGCTTTGGAACCGAAACAGAAAAAAGTCATGTCCAAGGTCAATACATTCCATTTCATGCCGAGTTTTCCATTGAGCTTTAACTCGTGGAAACAGAAATTTGTAACCTACATTTCGGCCATAAGCTTTAGCAATTAATCCATTAGCCCAGGGGGTACGAATTCTCCTTTTCTCTTCTTTAGAGAGAGATATAGATGCAACCCCTTCCTCTTCATCAGACTTAGAGTCTGAATCAAATATTTCATTCAGAAAAGATGCATTGCAGTAATAGGAGATTTCAGCCTCGTCTTGGTCGGCAATAAGCATGTCTCTATAGGATGAGACATTAGCATTGTTCAACAACTGAGGAAAGGAAGGAATTTCTGTATCCATGGAACAATGTCTGTCTGAGGCCGGGAGATGATCAGAACAATCCATGACTGAAGAAGAATTGTCCTTAATACGCTTAGCACTTCTGGACGCCTGCTCAGCGTTATCTCCAGGGGGGTCGGGGAGGGAGGAAGTTGGAATTACATCCGGATGTCTTGGTTAAGATCTGGAGTTGAGAGAATTCATGTCGCTTACGTCATGTATCTTATTGATGAATGTTGGGGACTTAGAGATGGGCTATACATTGCAAGAGCCTGCAATATTAAGAAATTCACTGTGGAAGTTGATGCTACAACTTTAATCTATGTCATTTCCTCAAACTCTGTTGAGGCTACTAATTTGAAATATTTGTCTATCATTACTGAATGCAGGTCGCAGATGCAACAATTTGAGGAAGTGAAAATTCAACATATATTTTGGAAAGAAATTCATGCACCGATGCATTGGTCAAGTTTGGCACTATGTTCCAATGTAATAGCTTAGATGAGGTTTTTGTTGTGTTAATGATACCTTATTCTTTTGTGGCTAATTTATTATTCCTTGATGCTAATGGACATATATCATTCAAATCACAAAAAAGAAAGGTGAAAAAGTTTTAATTATATCGAATTGATGTTGAATTTTCTAATGTTTTCCTTCTTTTCATAGCGTCTGCTCACTTCCTTTCTACACTGATTTTACTAAATTATTATTAGTCTATTAATACATATATATATATATATATATATATTGTACTAACTAATACCTATATATATTGAGTTTACACTCATGATTTAATCTTGACATATAATTATTAATTAAATAATAATTTTATGATTTTTAAAATAAGAATTACATGAAATGCTCTCTCATTAACAGCCTCCCAACTATACCAACATTGCCTTCAATAACTAAATTCAAACTATCTATAAAAACCCTGTATCAGTCAAGTTATGCAATTATTTTATTTGAATTTTCTTTTCTAAGAAAAATCTGGTAAGTCGTTGCAAAAATCTCTTTTTGCAGAATATTGCAATATCTCAAGAAGAAAGAATAATCAAAGAAGGGAACTTTTAGTAGTATTAAGTTTCCTCGAAATTGAATTGAAGACCTACCTAATCACTAGCAAGTAGCAGCTCCCTAGTCAATCTTGCTATGCTCAATTTTCTCTTATCCTTGATGATTATGATGCAGATCATCTTCTTTGAAGGAAACTACTCAAATTCTTTTAGATAACGCGAATTTGACGAGTTAAAATTAAAAGATAATTGACTAATAACTGAACTAAGAATTCAATATCAAATTCACTAAAAATAAACGATAATTGACTAATAACTGAACGTGATCGTCAATCACTGAAACTAAGAATTCAGTACCCTAACAAATAACAGTGAGATGATCGTCGATCACTGAAACTAAGAATTTAGTACCCTAACAAATAACAGTGAGATTTTTCGTATGTTAACCGAAAACTGACCTATTAACAGTACAAATTAAAATGAATGAACATGGGATTGAAGGGAAAAAGGTGGAGAAGTCTTAGATTCCAGTTTCTTGTCATTGACCAATGGCAAAGAGGATCAAATCATACATTAATTCAACAGACACGTGATTGCATAAAGCAATTAGGACATAGATGTTTGAAGTCTTCACATATACATATTTAGTTAGGAAGACAGCAACCTTTGTCGATTGAGACATGCAAAAATGACAGCAGCTTGTAACAGTCATTTTGACCATTAATTAGTTTTATCATCTATCTGCTTCATCAAAAACAAGTGGGTAGTTGATGATTTTGAAGATTCATTTCATTTCTTCTTATTTTCCTGCGTTTTGGGTCATGGGACAATGATATTTGATTATTTTCACCTTTGATTTCAGTTTTTTTCCAGATTCACAATCTGGGACATGATGGGGACACTGATGTTTTTCCATACAATGTGATGTTTTTTCTATACGTTGAGATGTTCCTTTCAACTTGTTTATGTCAAAATCTCATATCAATTAGTAGTATATATAAATCAATTATTACCAAACTTGTTTAACTGTTCATGTTTATTTCTGAATTATAGTACAGATTAGACAGCTATTACATGTTCATGAATGTCAGAACAGTTAAATTATTGCAAGCTTTAATGGGTTTATAGTAGTGTATAGTAACATGTCATAACAGTTAAACTGTCGGACCGGCAACATGATTAATACACAGAATCCAAAGATTATATATATGCCATCTAATTAAACTCTAGCATTTTGTTAATCTGTCTTTTAACTGTTACATTTCAGTTAGAAAAGCTGTTTGTTGCGTAGTCTCCAAAATTTTCAATGCACAATCCTTTTCTACATTATATAAACACAACAAGCATATGTACAAATCTTTTAACAGTAAAACATTACATTCTTAACCCTCTCTTTCAATGCCGGTAAAGGCTTGACAGATGATCCGTTGCTTGTGCGCGTGCATTGCCCTTTAGCATTTTCAGTTGCCTCTGGTTCAATGTAGAATCGCGCCCGGTAGGCTGCTAGATGAGCATAATATGCTGGTGGCACTGCATATGCAAGAAAAAAGAATGTTACATTATGATTAAGGTTAGATAATTTGTTCAAGACTTGCTTGCAGATGAAGTAAGGGTAGATTAGACATTACCAACTGAAACAGATCGCGTGCAACGAGCATACCTGCAACGAAATGATCCATTAATTTGAATCATGATAACTAATGAAGTAATATAGTATCAATAAAAGTGAAAATTCTTACGTGTAACAGAGGTTATTGGTCAAAGACTGGATTTCATCTGCTGTGAAGTTGTTCTCATCCCAAAGAACATGATAGTGTGCAGGTCTACTTGTTCCCTGGCAATTTCAAGTTTCAGATCATAAATGTTTAGTAATGTTATGACTCGACAACGATAAGGCGAAAAAAAACCCTAAGATCATTTTTAGTTGATACCTGGATTCCTGCATGACTACATAGGTAGAAGTCAAACTCAGTTGGATGACAAATCTTAGAGTCCACCACAGTACCTGCATTTGGAAAACATCAAGTTCATATTCATCTGAACATTTCTAAACCATAAAATTTAGAAATCATTTGTAATTTTTAATTTAAATTAAGAAAACTATGAATCACATGTTTTTACCAGGCAAAATATTCCCACTCTTGTCAGTGCTGCTTCTGTCACTGTGGTTGCTTGCAAAAAGCCTAGTATGATGCCTCTTTTGGACCACAATGAATGTAACTGGAGGTTGGTAAGTTGATTCCAATGATGCACAGGCCTGCGAATACCGACAATCTTAAGCATAGGATAAAGATGGATTAATTGGCAAATACAATCTTTATGTCAACCAACCTTCCGTATGGCATCAAGTTCATATAGTAGAACCTGGTAGAATTGGCCTTCACTGACACCATCTCTGCACAAATTGTTCAAGGACATTAGAGGTATATTTGTTTTTGGTTCGGCTTCTGATCTCGAATAAACAAACAAAATGTTTAAGGATGAACTAAAGATTGCAAGTTGCCCTAGTAGAGTATACCTGTAAAAGATTATCCTCAGTGGCTTTTGTCCAGTGGCCTTCTTAAATGCAAGTAAGAGCTCCCTGAATGACCATAAATAATTTAAATTCGATTTCTAGCAGTTTATCGGCACGTGTAAAAACAGGGCATTTTGCAGTTTACTAATTCTCATAATCTAGTAAAAACTAAAAAGCTTTTGAAACTTGGGAACATATGACCAAATTAATGCATCTAGCCTCTAGAGGCCTTAAAATTGTAAACCTGATCATGCCTCCAGTAACCGTGCCACGTTGAGGATCCTGCCATGTTTTGTACAGATCTTGAATAAGTTCTTGTCTATGGGGCTGAGCACATACCAGTCCAGCATACTTGGTCACTTCAGGCCAATCTTGTGAGGCAACAACCTGAATTACAGCAATCAATATGGCTAAGGAGCCGAGCAGACGCGTTTTTAGCTTTGAACATACAGGATTCGACTTACTTACAGCTGCTATAGATGGACTAGAGTCCTCTCCAGACTCAGGATGAGTTACATCAGCTCCAAATATTATTGTTGGAATGTCACTAACCAAAGGAATTCTCCAACTTAGGGCATCTAAGAGCACAGTATTTCTTCCCCCCATCTAAAAAATACGGAAAATTAGCAATTATTGCCTAAAAATTAAGACAGCAGATTGTAGAAATATGACAGACCTTGACATTTATTTTAAGTGAGAGATTTGCCAAGTACTGTCTGCTAATCTTGAAGACATGTTTTGTAAGGCAGCATTGAGAAATCAAACCCAGGTCTGTTTCGCAAATTCGTTTCAGATCACCTGAATACAGAACATATTGCTCTTAGTCAAAAGAAAAAAAGCATATCTGATCTCAACAGAATAAATGAGAATAAATGAATGAGTTAAACATAATAAATGAGTTAAAGCTTGGACTGTTTAAATGTTATTAATGTTTGTACTTTTATATGTTAGACATCATTCAGCTAATCAAAATTAAATTTGAGTCACATCAGATATAGGGTTACAAGGAAGATCATACCATATAAGGAACCATTGTTGTCTGGAAGAATGGCAATGAGTAATTCAAGTTCTTTTCCTTCAAGTTTGTTTGTAGCAGCATGATACACATATTTCAGTGCCTTCTTGACTTGATCAGGTCTTGCTGAATGTACCGGAATTACAGGATCCCGATTGAATTCCTGCAATTAAACACCGACTTTATCAGAAGGTTCAGGCACTGAAGCAGGCCTTATTAATATAGCCAAAATGAAGTTTAGGATGATTCACCATGCCGGAGATTTGGCACATCTGAACTAACTCCTGACAAAAGCTTTGAGCAGTGCTCTCTTGAACACTTCGCGAAAAGTTGATACAAGCCCAGTATCTTACAGTGCTTCCATTTATCACTTTCTGTAGCAAAAGCAACAAGAATAGGGTTTCTTTAGATACAAGTAACATGCAGTTAAACTAAATGGATATCATTTCTGGTGAAGTCTTGGTATATTTCACAGTTTTGACTTAGACTAACCTTGTTCATCATATTCCACTGACCAACTTGGGGCAAATATTCTTTTTCTTTTCCATTGTCATTATACTTCAGCTTTAACAACAAAAGAGGATGGAAAGAACAAGATGTTAAACAAAGTTGTATCATATAAAGAATTGACAGTGATTAACAGTTTTTTCCAACTGTACCCATGGAGCAGGAAGAACCCGAGCCTCGATTGATGCAAGCTTGCTGTCTATATTGATGCCAAACTCTTTTGCATAAGGATCTTGATCATAGTCATTTTGTTGAACTGTCTGTAAAGACGGTAAATATAGATATCATCATTAGTCTTAACTTGCACAACAAGTCTTATCAGTTTTATAAGTAATCATGCTCTAGACCTGTAAGATGTCCAATTCTTGTTCGCGGGGTCTTTGGCATGAAACCTTTAGTAGAGAAGTAATCTGTTTCTCATTCAGCCCTTTGGTGTATCTCTGTCCTTCAACAATCTTGCAAGCCTGCAATAGGATTTAGTATAAAAATTGGCTGGAAGAACTCTCAATGCCGGTCTAAAGAGGAAAATTGGGCAATTAATACATACCTCCATTGGCAAATAGTTCACTTTTTTCTCATTTCCTACTTGAAGGCAAGGGAGGTGTGCATATCTAATAGTATATCCATACATCTCTTGAAAGTATTCAACAACTGACTTCATGTTCATATGCTCATCAAGTGGAAAACTGATAAAAAGTAAACAAAAATGAAAGAATTTCCAGAAAGAAGCAAAGACAAAATTTTCAAATTCAATAAACAGTAGGTGAAGTTCAACAATAACACATACATTAGCTCCCTTGTTGGCTGAGTAGTCAACCCTGAAACCCGGTACTTTCTGCGTACATTTCCTCTGTGAGTCACTTCCACTTTTACACCTCTAAGGGCTTTCTTAACCTATACAACATTGACAAAAAAAGATAATTTGGAATTTGCAAATCTTAGGGAAGGAAAATATATAAATTTCCTACATGTTAGTGATAAGCCATAAAGTAATGTACCTTAACACGGTCTGCATCTGACATTGGCCTTGAATACACATCTTTACCCAAAATTTGTGCAACAAAATCGATTACAGGTAAGGGTTCGAAAAATGCAGTTGTTGACATATCTGACACCAAAAAGACAGAATAAGAACAATGCAGAATACTGAATTCAGCTGATAAAAACAATGGATTTAATCAAATGAAAAATGTCCAGCAGGATTTTACCAATATTTAAAGACAATCCCATCTGAGTAGGTCTTATACTCTGGTAGAAGCCGCGCCATGCCTCTAAGCCACCACCCAATGTTTGAGGTTTCTTGATATTAGGAGAATAAAGGAACCTTCCAACTGATATGTACCTAAATTCATCAAAACAAAGGGTAATACAAAGTTAAACGCGGCTGCCAATGGCGCCAGACAAACAAACTTAGATAACAAGTTAAAACAGATAAAATGCACCTTTGAGCCACCAATTCCCTCAACACAGTATCAATAATATTAAGGGCTTCTTGAGGTGTATCAACTTGTTTCCCTGATAGAAGGTTGCGCAATTGCGCCATACTAGCAAGAGCTACAAACTTGATCATCACTTTAAATTCTCTTGTCCTGATTAAATCAGAAACATTTGCAATGAAAATGAACCTTTTAAGGACACAAGTAATAGTATAAAGTATAATTTACCCGGTGTTAATGAAAAAATTACCTAACATTCCCGGTTCTTTCATCTTCATCGACTAATATTACAGTGAACTCCTTAGAGGTAAAAGGCAGTGATCCAGCTGTGTATAAATTTTCCCTTCCATCATAAACAGGAAGCCTCATCCCCAAGTCACTGTTCCTATGAAGTTTAACTAGTTCTGTCATAATAGCTTTGTTGAGTTTTCTAGAAGCAACTTCTGGGGTTATTTCTACCTGTTATAAAAAACATCAAATCAAACAACCTATAAATTGTCAAAAACCTGAGTTTCAATTTCATTCTGTAATTCATTAAAAGAATGATGAAATGAAAACTTACAGTATAATGACTCAAGTCAGATCCTGGTATTTCAGCAAGAAAATGGTTGGCTTTAACTAAACACTTAGTTCCCAATTGTCCATAGCCAGGCCTTTTATGGAACATAAGACTCTTGCATGAATTAGAACCCATATTTGGCTCAAGCTTTTCATTTTGTAACTTAGAATCCATTTTATAATGTCCTCTGCCTCTTCTCTGCCCGGTATTCCTCCTCTTTTTCCCATCTTCAAAATTTTTCCCCAGTTTTGATGATCATTTGGGGTACTGATTTCTTCTGATTTATTGAACTCTTTAGATTTTCCCTTGACACCACATGGCTCTCCTTGAGCTCTCTCATTTGCATGCGAGGCATTTCTGTTTCTCTGCAACAACAGAACAAACAAAACAACAGTCACTTGATATTAGTTGATTCAAATGACAGAAGAGAAGAAAAAAAAACATGTTACACGTTTTTGTCTGTAAGAATTCTTACTACTATGTGAGATTTGGGTATATGGAGAAGAGTGAAAACAAGTGTAACAGTTGCAGCAAAGCTAAAAAAAAAAGAGACAGAGGAGATACATATTATAACATCAAAATCTCGACAGTGTTTTTTCACTTCTGTAATAATATTATTCCCTGCAAAGGATGACTAAAAAACACATGCAAACATGCAAAAAAGCAAGAATCCATGGCAGAAAAGTCATCCAACCCATAAAAAAAAAAAAAAAAAACAAATAAACTAAAAACAAAGTTCTTGACATACGAGTATTATATATATACCATTTAACTATGAAGACAAATTTCACATGTAAGATTAGTTAAGCTGAGGCAAAAAAGAAAGAAAAAGAAGAAGCAGCTGCCATGGAAGTAAAATAAAACAAGGTTTTTATTACACAGTGGGTTGAATCCTGAAATCTTAAAAGGAAATTAATGTGGTCCAAAATTGGAGATTGAATTGAAAGGCTGTGTTTTTTAATGCTCCAACTTATTTGCAGGACAGCTTTGTAATCTAGCTTAAAGCATTGTAAATAAAACTGCTTTATTTCAGAGACAGAGAGGAACTTTAACTCATCCCAAAGCCCACCCAAAGAACAGTGACTAAACATAAGCACTAAGTATATAACACAAAGCACAAACAACAGATAGGAAAATCAGTGCATCAAAAGGAATTTAAAACAATTAGGCTTAAAAACTGGTAGATTCAGATAACTCTTTGTCTCTTTGGGGTTAAAGTTTAGCATTCAATGCAGTTAAAGGTTTTTTTTTTTCCTCAAAAACTTTATACTAGCTTGTGTAGTTTTCGTTGTTGTTTATTAACCGGACACATTGTGTTCTTCTCAATTCTATCAAAATCCTCTTTTTATTTTTATTTTTTTTGCTTTGGGATATGTTTTGCTGCAATCTTTGTCAGGCATGTACCCCATTTTTTTCTAGCTTTTTTGATGGGCAGGGGGGGCCAAATTTATATTTTAGGTAAAGGAAAAAGATTGGAAGATGAGGGCAAAATGAATCCAAGTTCAACCGTGTGAAGTGAGATTATTACAAGACATGAAGAACAATCAAATGATATGTCCCTTTCCATTTTCAGTGCAGATGTATGTATATGGATATGCATGCAATGGTCCAACTCCAACCTTCAACTTTGGGCTCAGATATTGGGATGGCCCATTAAGGGAATCATCCCGAAAAAAAAAAAAAAAACTCGGAATATTGGGGTTTCCATATTAGCAAGAATTTGGAAAATATAAACAAGAACATAAACAAGGTGTTTTTACATAGATGATTAATTATGATCTAAATGTGACATTTAAAAGCTAAAAACATTTATGAATAAACCTAATTTAAGTCTAAGTGATGTAGTAATTTGAAACCATAGCTAAATTTGTGAAGTATATTACAAAAAATCTATGTCAAAAAATTGACAGTATCCCAGATAGTCCAAGCTGTCTGGATAACTCAGTACAGCTGTGTCTGGAGCTGCACCTGAGAACAAGATTCATTCATTGACTATAATGATAATTTTGGGTTTTAAAATCACTAGGCACTTAGGCTGCAGGCAGTGCTAATTTTATTCCACATCCATCAAATCTGCAACTATATTTTCAGAACATATATATATGTACACATTTTATTTTTCCCCCTAATGTAATATGGGTTTATGTTCTAATTTTTCTTGGAAGTTTAAGGAATTATTAGGCATCAACTAATTTTTTTTTTATATTATTAGGGAAATTGGCCTAAGGGGGGAAAACCCATATAAGGCAAATCAGTTCTTGCAAAGTTTTTTTTTTTTTTTTTTTGATAACAAGCAAAGTTTAATGCATGCATGATGCACCTATTATTTGTGTATAAAAACCAATGTTACTCTAATGAAAACTACTTATACTTATTATGATGAAATTAAATTACACTAATTTTTCTCTTTTTTGGATTCGGGTATCTATATTGACAAGATATTTAGCCAATATATTGCCTATCTCAAAAACTTATGATTATGTCTTTTACGAAATGATTTCAAAATGATAAAAAAAAAGGAGAAAATATTAATAAGAAAAAGACAAAAAAAAACAAAAAAGGTTATTGAGTCATCACCATCACAAACCACCAACACAAAAACTTGTCACTATTATTACTAATCATGAAATGAAAAAAAAAAGCTTAGGACAAACCGAAATATGACCAAAAAGGAAAGCTTGCTTTAAGAAAAAACAAAAATCAAAGGCAAAAAAGAGAGGAAAAGAAACCCACACCTTTATTTATTAATTTCTTTCCTCTATGTGATGATGTTTATGTATCAAAGAGGAATATCCGTAATTCTCATCTGCACACAGATATGGCTGAGAACCAAACGCCAAATTCCAACAACTTTCATAGCAAAAAAAATCATCTTATTTATATTGAAAAAAGTGATAATAAACCGAAAAAAGAGAGTCAAACTGTAAGGATCATGAATAAAGCAAAAAAAAAAAAAAGCTTTTCGACTCAATGGTATAATGCATGTCACAAGCTAGCTATATATATAAAAATCATGGAAATTTTTTTTTTCTTGCTTACCAAACAGAAGCTAAAGAAAGTGGGAATAGTTATTATGGGAGAGGGAGGGGTAAGTAGGGTGAATCTGGGAAACAAACCTTTTGCTTTCACGTCTTTCCTTTATAGAAACATCACGTTAGCAATAAATGTGGTAAATTTGGTCATCAGCTTTCTCAACAACCATGAATTCCAGCTTCCATACTCTGCAAAGAATATATTTTTAACTTCTGTTCTTGATAATATCCATATCCCATCCCCATTATTTAATGAACATCAGACAAGAAAGAAAAAAAAGAAAAGATCTTATGCATATATTTATAGATACAGCTACTATATTATAGCTACATAAAAAAAAGGGTTTTTGCTGATATGTTTATATGACTATATTTATAGGCCAAATCTTTAGAAGGTCTTTACTTGTACTGTGGCTGATCAGAAATAGTATCAGAATTTTTCAGGAAAATTTAAGGTGAAGAAATGAAATGTTGCCACATGGAAATGGGGGTCGTTTCTAGTTGCTGTAGGGATTTGGTTTCGTGAGTATTTTAGGTAATTAAGCTGAAGTCTGAAAAGGGACGAAGATCTCATCAAACAGAGAGAGATTTAGTGCTGCTCATGAATATATATATGATATTTAAAGCAAAAACTGCTCTGTAAACATTAAATTGCTCAAGCTGTCAAAGTAGGAGTTGGATCATTAATGTTGCATTGCATGCTTTAAGTCAAAAGTTCAAAACCAGAAAGATTATTAATTAATATATATATAACCCATTTCAGAAAAAAAATGAAAACAGTGCCAAAAATGAAAGAGAACTGAGAAAGCTTACAAGAAAAACCCTTAATCATGATGACCTAATTGAAAGGAAAAAAGCTTCTGTTTGAGTTTTTTTTTTCCTAGTGAAAGTTTTGATGGGAAAATTATTAAAGCTGTGTGGGGTTTGAAAAGAGAGAAAGAATGTCGACTTTGTTGGAAAATGAAGCAGACGAATATACCAGAAGGGAAATTTGATGTATCAAGAACAAGCAAAGTGAAGAAGAAGAAGAGAGATTATACGGGGAATCGAGTTTCTTTTTGGGTTAAAGATTATTTTCATTATTATTATAATGATCAACAAAATAAAACACTCACCACCTTTAAGAAAAGCAAACTTTAAACGAGAAAGAGAGTGGGAAATAGTAGCTTTTTTCGAGCATGAAAGCGTGCAAAACTGATAAAAACTGATCAACTTTTGCATTAATAAAACAGCAAAACATAATAAGAAATGGGATTTGAATATAATACAAAAAGCTATAGCTAAAACATTTGAATGAATATAAATTTAAGCTAAGACGAATCAAAAAAAGGTGTGAGATTCCATACTCTGATAAGAGAGGTGGTGGTGGACTAGTCTATGAGAACTCTGTGGCAAAATATTGCTTTTCCAAGCTGAATATAATCTGACGTATAAATATGTGAATAAAGAAAGATGATGGTTGAATAATTGATGGAAAAAGGGAGAGAGTGTCAGGTTCTGGTTAGTGGGGGAATATTTTTGTGGCCGGAATTTTGAGATTCCGGTGAAAGAGAGAGAAAGATGGTGATATCTATGGATGTATCATGTGGGAATGAGAGATAGAGAGAGATCAGGTGTTATATAATTGTAAAGCAAAAGGTAGAGTTTGGGGCTTTAAAAAAAGGTGAGACGGCAGGTTCCCCTTTCGAGGTTCTTACTAATAACACTTTTAATTATACTATTGATATTCAGTAGTACTAGTAGCATTAGTTGTTGTGAGTTTACGAGAAGATGAAAAATACCTTGTGTACAATAAAATGGCTTTGATGAGCTTAAAAGATCTCGATGTCCTTCTAATATAAGTTTAGAATTTAAGCCTTGTGTTAGTAGATGATTTTTTATTTTTTAACAAGATACGATGTGACTCTCCACTTTAGATTAACCGGAATTCAGGATAAATCCAATTACCCGCATAATCAAAACAAATTTTTTTATTAACTTTCGATATTCGGTGATCACATTAGAACTTAACTACTTCAATGTTGAGAGTTAGTTAGATCCAATATATGGGGGAAGTTCTCCTAACGCCTGTTTGTCATTCACATGCAAGACTTAAATCCAAGATTTTCTCAAAGAGTAGTATTAAGCATAATGGAAACAACT